GTTTGATTCTATTTTCGAATACTATTTAGGATGGATAGTATGCAAATTGGGACACAGCAACAATGAATGTACTGTTATTAATTCAGCTCCATCTGCTTAACATTACAAATTAAAGAGTGAGCCAGTGATGCAGTGCTAATATGAAGTCAGCTGGGTCACCTTTTTGTCTCTTATTCCTCCTCTTCAGAAATGTTTTTATTAGTAATACAAATATTATGCAAATAACTTCATTATGAATAAACTCAACATCATCTATCCTTCAGCTCATTTTTTCTGGTCTTCTGGTCTTGTGTTTGGAGACTTAATGTTCTGGAGCTTTTTAGACTAAATGGATCTTACTCTTGCAATTTCTGTAAAGGCGACAAGGAAATGATTTTCCATTGCACACTGTAAAAAAAATTACGTAAAATTTACGGTAAAAAACCGGCAGCTGTGGTTGCCGGAATTTTACCGTAGCAACATTTTAGGTTTTACAGTTTTACGGTTTTAACTTAAATTTACAGTTAAATACCGTAATTTCATTAACTGATATAATGTTAATATACCAACCTTTATTCACTGTAAATTATACGGTCTTTTTCACTTCCAAAAATGGTATACTACCGTAAATTTAATGTCCAAATACATGTAATGTCCAATACAGTTTTTCACTGTATATAGTAGGGGAATTTACCATTAACCATTTAACAGGTTTTTACTGTAGCATTTTTACAGTCTTTTACCGTTAAATTCTCGGTCATTTTTTACAGTGCATATATAGGCTACACAAATATTCTGGATTAATATAGACCATTTAATTAAGAGAAAATTGAGTCTTGGTTTCCAAATGAGTGGATGGGACATATTTATAGATTAATAAAGATAAGCCATATCTATACAATTGTTAATATTAATGGAACAATTTCACATCTATAAAATGAAATGATCTGACTCCAAACCAAAGTTTTGACTTAAACATGACTTCAAGCTTTACTGTCATCTTTTACAAGTGTATATATTTATATTTTGGATCTTATAACATTATAAAGAAGTATGTTAGCGTTGCATAAATCTATATCTTGATTGGTAACATCATTTGAAATGAAAAGTAATTTTGGAGGCATTTTAATGAAAAATTATGAAAACAATATTAAACAAATGTTTGTTTTTATTTTTTAATAACATGCACTTAGGAATTGTGAAAAATTTGACCAGGATTGGTAGCATCAACTGAAAAAGGCATTTGATTGGATTAGGCCATTTTTGCATTATTTATTTATTGTTTTATTTATTGCATACTTTAACCAAATGATCCGAGTTTTAGTGTATGAAGTCAGATGTAATCCATAACAGTACTTTTTGTTGTCTTTTTTATCAGTTCATCTATTGATTTAAGCAACTGTATGATATATAAGTGTGTGTGTGTACCTGTGTGTGTGTGTGTGTGTGTGTGTGTCAGGGTCTCAGTGTGCTTCATATAGCAGCTCTACATGGACACCTGGAGTGTATGGAGCTGCTGCTGGAGGCCGGTGGGATTGTGGATGTGAATGGCAGTTGTCCTCATGGACGCAGACCTGTACATATGGTGCTGAGTGCTCAGAGCCGACCCAACACACACACCTGCCTCATTTACCTGCTGGAACATGGAGCCCAGATCGATGTGTATGAACTCCTAATCATTAAGATTCATATTTAATGATGAAGGTAAACACAGATATGAGTATTAAAGGGGTCATATGATGCGATTTCAATTTTTCCTTTCTCTTTGGAGTGTTACAAGCTCTTGGTGCATGCATATTGCATTGTTTCTTGCATTAAAGTCAGCAAGAAACAGCATTTACAATCAATTTTAGTTATTATTTTGGAATGAACCAAGAAAAAATAGGAGGGGGGGGGTGGCTTGATTTCATCCACTGGGATTTGATTGGAGCAGGAAAGGTGAGTGTAACATACTAGAATGGTTTTTATTTATTTTTTTGGATTTTATGTTTTTAATAACTTGAATTAATTAATTGTGCAAAATTAGACCAGAACTGGCAACATCAACCAAAAAAGGCATTCTGAAGGTAAAGCAAGTTATTATATTTTAATGAAAAATGGAAACTGTTTATTTATTTATTTACTTACATGCACTGATGAATTGTGCAAAATTAGACATGTATTGGTAACATCAGCTGAAATGGAAGATCATTTTGACGACAGAGCATGTTATTATATTTTAATGACAATGGATTTTATTTATTGAATAACATGCACTAATGAGTTTTGCAAAATTAAACCAGAATTGGCAACATCAGCTAAAAAAGGAAACTAATTTTCAAGGTGGAGCAAGTTACTATATTTAGATGAAAGATGAAAACTGATGATTGATTGATTGATTTTTTAATAATATGCACTGATGAATTATGCAAAATTAGACCAGAATTGATAACATCAGCTGAAAAGGAAAGTAATTTTGAAAGTGGAGCATGATATTATTTTTTGATGAAAGATTATGAAAATAATTATTTTATTTAGATTTAATTTATTTTTAAATGAACTAATGAATTGTTCAAAATTATGCCAGAAATGGTTAGATACTGAACTCAAGTTACCAGTAAATGAAACAATGGATACACTGTCTGCATAATCACAATTTTTAGTGAAGTTTCTATGGTGTCAGATCCGTGTCCTCTGTAGTAAAACTGTTGTCAGCCTCCTCAGTACAGATGAAGGACCGACTCCACTGCACCTGGCCGCTGCTGAAGGTTTGACAGACTGTACAGAGACGCTAGTGAGAAACACGCCTCTCGACCTCGCTAGGATCTGGGGCCACAGGCTCACTGCCAGGTATCAGATGCTACTGACAGCCACAAAATGTTAAGAGACTCCTCGGTGTGTGATTTAGGTTCAATTACATAACATTGCATGACATTACAAAAACTCATGGCATGACGTCAGATGTGCAAATGAACAAATGTGTTTGTGCAACAGGTTTCTGAAAGATGCCATTTGGCGAAAAGACAAACAGCAGGAGATCAGGAAAAGCAAACAGCTCCATGATCTCCGGCGGTTCCAGTGTTGCAGTGTGCTGGATCTGCCTCGCTTGGGTCGCTGCCTCGCCCTGGACTGAGGTGGCCATGCACCTGGCCGAGGAGCTGAAGCCAGGACACTATTAGACACATTACACACTCAGACAAAAAGGTACAAAAGGCGTCACTGGGGTGGTACCTTAACAAAAGGCACTAAAATTAGATTTTAATGTACTAATATGCACTCTTTAGGGGTAAATAAGGTACAAAGGTGTACCCATTTCAAAGGTATCAACCCAGTAACAACTTTTGTACCCTTTTTTGGGGGGAAGTGTATCATCTATAGAAACCAAAGTCATGTTTTGAATAAAAATCTCCATCCCTGCAATAAAAGACCCATGTGAAACCAAACAATAATTCATTCAAGAACATAATCTTCATTCGTTTTTGAAAAGAACTCAATCATTTTAGTGACTTTAAGACATTTAGAATGTTACAAAAGATTCATGTGACACTGAAGACTGGAGTAATGATGTTGAAAATTCAGCTTTGCATCACTGAAATAAATTACATTTTAATATCGATTCAAATAAAAAAACAGTAATTTTTCACAATTTTCCTGTTTTTACTGTTTTTTTTTTTTATCAAATAAATGCAGCCTTGGTGAACACAAGAGGTTCAAAAGCATTTAAAAATCGTACAAAGTTTAAACGGTAGTGTATGAACACTTCAGAATTGATTTTCCCCCCACATTACAGTAGAATATAAAATTGTGCCGTTGTCTGATGGTACTGTGTAGATGAGTCAGGAAGCAATGGAAAAAGACCTTTGAATGTAAGCTTACGTCTATGGCTCCGACATGTTCTTGACAGAGTCGAATGCTTTTCCAAAACACAAAAAATCTGAGCAAAGGCTAAAATTTGTGGAGTAGCTTTTAACTGCAATACGCCTCTGCATGCACATCATCAACGTGTGAAAAAGGGAGCAGAAAACATGTATAAGGGCAAAAAAAAAGATCTCTGAAAAGTTCCCCGATGCTGAACTTATGTAGGTGTGAATGAAAGCTGAACTCTGAGCGAATACGGTTAGGAAACCGCAGTGACCCGGGTCACGGCCCAAAACAGCCCTGCTGTCGTCATCCGATCCCAGAGGACGCTTGGCGCTTGGATTTTTGACACGCGAGAAAAGAGCTGCCCTTTCACACTGACCTAGAACCAGTTTTCTGTATGTCGACTTTAACCTCAGCCATTACGAAACAAGCCACAAAACAGTCAGATAACACCAGCAAAGGGCAACTTCCGCCCTCCTAAGTGATTCGAGAGCTTCCTGAAGTGAATGTGTGCTGACCTTTCCTCAACCTCACACTCCAAGTGTAAGATCCGTCTGCCAAATAAAGAGGAGCACAAATGCCCCTCTGAGTCATTCGGACATTTTATTAGAAATTCTTCACATTTATCGTTTAAGAAAATGAACAATATCTGCATTTTGGTCAAAGAGCTATATTTATATATATATAACACAAATGTAATCAAAAAATGATTGCTTGGGTGAATGTCAAAAAACATGTTCACCAGGTATGAACATGTCCAGGTCTGTATACAGTATATATATATATAGTTTAAAGAAAACAAAGCTTACTTTATGAACAATTATGTGCTCGCTCTTTATTTTATTGCTAAACTTTTGTTTAATTGCATAATTTTGCATAAACATTTCCTGATAATTAAGCACTTTTTTCTTGATAGATGAGCACATTTATTATGATAATATACACATTTTTATGAAACCAAACACCTCAGAAAAAAAAAGATTAAAATGCCTTATTGATTTAAACGTTTTAAAATTATTATTTTTAAAGCCATGTAAATTACAAAAGTCAATTTACATTTAAAATAACATTCAATTTTGTATTATTTATTCATTTTTTCATATTTAATGAAACTGAAAAACAATGTTCAAAGTGCTTAATTGTTCTAATCTTAATAATCCTATAGTCTTATTTTCCTAATGCAAGATTTTTTTAGGTAACTTTGGGCTGAAATGATTCTGAGATTCACCCTCTGTGCATCTTCTCATTTGTACATGACAATGTTTACCTTTCAAAAACTCATACAACTGAATTTTATTATATTTCTGTACAGCACACAAATTAAGCATGGCCAACACTATGGCTCTCATGATTGCAGTATTTAAAGCAACATTTTACCCCCAAAAAATAGCTTTTCTTTGCTTGTCACACCAACGGCTGATAGAAAATGGATTTATAAATCAACACAAACAATCCTTACTGAAACTGCCTCAACATCAGGTCATTATAAAAGTCTAACCTCAAACAAATACTTGTAGTGTAAGATGTGATGAAGCGAGCGAACCGAACATTGGATTCAGGGTAAAACGTTCCTTTAAAATGTGAACAAATAATCCAGACATATCAATTCATTCATGAGCGAACACAAACATTGGCTTTCGAAGTGATGCAATCACAAGAAAATCAGCAGGAGCCTCTAGAGAAGCCGAAGCCCCTTCCACAGTCATCCACGTACAGACACGTCACAAGATCAAGCCTTCACGAATGAAAGACTTCTCAAGTCCTTTCATGGCTTTAGACGCCTAAGAAGAAATTAGCCGGCGACTCTGGACATGAATCAACAGACAGTAAGTTAATTCGAGGGTCCTCTCCCTCGGCTACAGATTCAGCCTCATTATTATCGTTCCTCCCACAAAAACACACTGTCTACTGAAAGGGGCCGGTGGCCTGAACAAACCCCTCCGCTTGATGCGCATCTGAACCGCTTCATCAGTACATCTTCTGTCGGCTTGGCAAAACGGCCTCCTTCAGGAAGGAGAAGATGAGCAGGATGCCGGAGCGCTTGCCCCGCTTGCCTTTAGTGAAGTAATTTGACACCACATCGTCTGAAAAAAACAGAGGAACAGGAAATAATTGATAGTGCTTAGACTTGACCATTGTAAATGTCTGGATAGAGAAGTGGGTGATTTTAATTACAATATTTTTTATATCATAATATACACATGGTTATGGAACACCCCCCCAAAACACCTATTAAACTTCAATGATAAATTATGTTGTTAAAATGCACATTTGACTAAATTACAAAAAAACATTAGTGACCCTGGAGCACAAAAGCAGTCTTAAGTCGCTGGGGTATATTTGTAGCAATAGCCAAAAATACATTGTATGGGTCAAAATTATCGATGTTTCTTTTATGCCAAAAATCATTAGGATATTAAGTAAAGAACATGTTCCATGAAGATATTTTGTAAATTTCCTACCCCTAATGACTGGTTTTGTGGTCCAGGGTCACATTTATTTATTTATTTAAATGCATATATGAATATTTTCTGAAGGTATGTGAATCAAAAAAAAGCAAATGTATTTTTAATAAAATATTTATTTATTTATTTTTATTTATTTAGTATTTTTATGTAATTAGACTTAATTGAACAACATTCTAAGTAAAATGTATAATTGAATATTATTAGAATGGCTTATGAATTACAAAAAAGCTCATTTATTTTTAATAAAATATAAATTTTATATGATTTCATTTATTTATAAATTTAATCAGACTGAAAACCATGTTCAAAGTAAAATGCATTTTTGAATATTTCGAAGGTATGTAAAATTACAAAAAAGCTAATGTATTTTAATAAAAGAGTTATTTTTTTATTACTTTATTTTTATTTAATTAGCCTGTGAAACAATATTCAAAGAAAAATGCTCATTTAAATATTTTTGAATGTATATACAGTTAACAAAGAAGCAAATTCACTTTAATATTTTTTATTTATTTAATTACACTAAAAGCAATGTTCAAAGTAAAATGCGTATTTAAATATATATTCAGGGCTTATAAATTACAAAAAAATATTTTAATAAAGTACATTTTTAATAAGTTTATTTATTTGATTTAATTACGCTAAAAACAATGTTCAAAGTAAACGGCATATTTGAATATATTTGAAGGCATATACATTGCAAAAAAAGCAAATTTATTTTTAATAAAGTTAATTTTTTAATGATTTTATTATATTTTCCTACTATTTATGACTGTAAAAACAATTCTTGAAAATGTATATAGATTTCTACCATTTCAATACATGCACCGGTAAATCACTCACCCCTGTAAGTACAGTACATAAGCATAGTTTAACATAATCCATGTGGCCTGTAGGAAATCAGATTTGCTAAGGTCAGATAGTCACTCACCTCCCTGCTGCACAACGGATGGCAGAACATTCTCTCCAGCAGACAGGGAAACAAAGAATGAGAACGGAGTCACCCACAGACATATAGTGAAGTATGCTAGAACCTGAAAACACACACACACACGCAATTCAACTTTGACATCATTTATGCAGCATTTATGTTGTTTCAGTCTGTAAAATAAAAAAGAGCCTACCTCAGAGAAAGGATAGTACTCCTCCGCAAAATACTGGAAGGCCATATAGTGGTTTAACACAACCAGTGCTGCAAAAGAGAGCAAAGTCACAGGTGAGAGGAGAACGCAAGCACAGAGATCATCGTAAAGTACATATAAAAGACCCTCTTCGTCACGCACCACATGACAGGATGAAGTTGGGCGAGGTCAGCATGATGTATGGAAACGTCTGCAGCAGACCGAAGTAAACCAGGTTGGTGAAGAGACCCACTCCGATCATGAGCGTGGGGAAGCCCTCAAACAGAAAGAGTCCCACCAGCACCGCTGTGGAGAACTGAGAGATGAGAGTACGAGTTAGAGGAGACGTGACGCATGTGTAACGTACCATCACTAAAAACTGTGCAATACTGTCTGAAGTACTGTTAGAGAAGACAATGTGCTGATGCTTACTATACTAACCGATGGATATTAACAAATGCATCCATACTGATTTTCTGCAGTCTCTCAATCTACCCCGTCTTAGTCATGAAGAAGCTGATCGTTAAGGGCAGCCTGTTACCTTAGAGGAGCTTTTACAAGGCGCTAAGAAAGGCAAAGCGCAAGGCTTCGATGGAATCCCAGCAGAGCTATTTCTTAAATATTTTGACCTACTGGGGCCTGTCTTCCTAACATCCGTACATGCTGGCGCTTTTCATCCGCAAATGAATACAGCGCTGATTTCGTTGATAGTCAAAAAAGGAAAAGATCATTCAGATTGTGCAAATTACAGACACATTCATTTTTATTAAATACAGATATTAAAATGCATGCTAGAATCCTAGCCTTGCGATTACAGCGGTATATAAATAAATGAGTGCATCCAGACCAGACCGGCTTTATGCTTTTATGATAATATCCGGAGACTTATGCATGTCATACATGAAACCGGGGCCTGCCCCACTCCAGCTGCAGTTCTTTCCTTGGATGCGGAGAAGGCATTTGATAGGCTGGAGTGGGACTACCTCTGGTCTGTTTTGGATGGATATGGACTTGGCGAAGGCTTCGTGAATATGATTAAGGTCTTATATGAGAACCCCACGGCGTCTGTAGTAACTAACGGGGTGCATTCTTTACCCTTCAATTTACAACGAGGCACAAGACAAGGGTGCCCTTTATCCCCAATGTTATTTGCGTTGTCGCTCGAGCCTCTAGCGCAACTGATAAGACAGGAAAACGTTCGTTCAATCTCAGTTCATTCTTATAAACAACATATATTTCTTTATGCGGATGATATATTACTTTTTATTACGGACCTTCAAGTTTCCATTCCGCAGATTCTAGAGGTATTTGGAAAGGCTCCCCTTGCATCCAATTATCGCCCGGCTTGATATGATTTTGTCTATGCACTTTACCTCATGGATGTACGAGAAGGTTTTGGAGGCTACATCAAAGGGCTTAGCTGTACAGCGTTTATGGGAAAGAGATCATGAACTGGGGTAGAACATGGCAGAACATTCTCACTTCATCAAGAAATCCAAATCACCAACTGGTTCATTTTAACTTTTGTCACAGAACTTATTGGACCCCACTGAAAAGGTCGTGTTTTAATGCATTATACTTTCTAAAAGCATATCAATGTATAGATAAGTATTATAATGTATTTTTACCATTATTCATGGGATCCTAGAGTGCATTATAAGGTGCATTACAAGGCTTAATTAATGCATTATACATGCTTTTGTAATGCATTATATTTAAATGCTTTAGGTAAAGTGTTACCGTGTAAGTGCATATTATGTGATCAACAAACATGCAAGACCATGACAACAAACATCTTAATTCATTCAAATGTTTTCACAGCATATATGGATCTATCTAACTATCTATACAGTAAACACAGGTGTATAAATACTGCTGGTTTGTCAGGTTGCCAAATTCTCAGTCACCATTATTAATACATCTGCCTATGTGGACAGAGACATTTGTACTCTTTTTACGACACTGTCCACAATCCGCATGTGCCAACCACTAAAAGAGAGTTGAAAAATAGCCAACATTCATTTGCAATAGACATTAGAGTTCATTTAAAGATGAAGTGTCAAGCCATGGATGTAACTTTCCCCGAATGGATGTCATGTAAATGGGCGGAGCAATTAGCAATCAATACAATCCTGTATTCTGCAACACCACAGTGTGAAATATAAAAACAAATGCAAGCCTGAAACACAACGAGCTTATCAATTATGTAAAATTATTTTATCCAAAGAGATATGACCTATGGTTTGTTTTAGCTCAGCACACTTTTGTTCTGTTTTACATCATATTATTACAATTAATTGATAATAAACATATATTTTATAGATAATAAAGGCACAGGAGTGGTGGGATTTCTTCGGTCGCGTCAGCAAAAGGAGTTAGCGGCTAACAGCGGCGACATAAAACTCACCGATAGCGAGAGTAACGAAACATATCTGCACCACCAGCGACAACCAGCTGACGTTACTTTGCTTTCATTCTGACTTGTTTGCAAATTTAAAAAAAACAAATGCATGTGATTCTCACTTGCAAAATTAGACAAAGACAGTTTAAAGAGACAGTATGACACTCTGGTCCCCAGATATGGCTTGAGTTCCTCTAATATTAGTCTATGCAAGCATTACTAACAATGCATATTTTATGCAATCACATGCACGCCAAACTAAAGTTTACAAAGGTAATACTCACCATAATCATATATTTTATAATGCGGCTGGTGGCGACGGTGTACTCCTCTATTAACTCTGCCAGGTAATACAGGCCTGCAGCTGTAAAGACAAATAGCAAATTGAGAAAAACTACAAACAGACTGTATACGTAACACTTCACTTAAAGCCTTTATGTATAATGCATTATAAAGGTATTCATAATGTGCAT